CTGGAACCCATATGGGATCCTGGCGCTTGCAAGGCAAGGATTTAGCCATTGAGCCATTGCTCCAGGCCCTTTGCAGGCTTTCTCAAGCCATTATCAGGGAGTAGAATTGGAAGTGGAGTAGCTGGGACACAACCTACACCCATGTGGCTTACCAGCATTGCAGGTGTGGCTGTGTAGGCTACAATACAATACCAGCCCTGCAAATTATTTTTATAATCTTAAGCATTAATTGTATTTCATTTTTGGATTTTTTTTCTTTGTTTCTTTGAAAAGATGTGATTTCTTTTTTATTTTAAGCATCTTTGCAGAAAGTTGAAGTGGTTTTTTGTTGTTGTTGTTCAAATTCTGGTTCAGACTTTGTAAATAGCACCTAGACTTGTAGATGTATCTGTAAATAAAACTCCACCTTTTTTCCCTTTCTCCTTTCATGAATGACACTGATCTTTGTTCATTTTTTTAAAATATGCTAAACCCATTTTCATTCTGGGCATTGGCTTTTGTTTTCCTTTCTGAAACATTGTGGCTACATTGAAACAAGGTTTTTCAGTTCTCAGCTTTTTTGATATGATGTCCCTTTAACTCAGTCTAAAATGCTGTCTCACACTGTGGTTGTTTTTTTTTTTAAATCACAATATGTATTATTGCTTGCTTGCTTGTCTGTCCCTATACCTCCTTGAGACTGAAGGCTACAGTTGTTTTGGTTACTGTTGTGTATGCAATGCCTGGGAGAGTCCCTAGATACTCTGCCATGCATGTTTAATGAATTAAAAAAGGAAAGCCAAGCTGCCGGAGACCAGCTCCAGCTGAGTTCTGAGCTCACGAAAGGGGTGTGGAGTTGATGTTTTAAAAAAACATAAGAGATGAAGAGAAAAGATGGACCACTATAATATAGTGATCATAGTAGGCAATGCAAAAAAGATGTCCCCTTTATTTATATAGGTAAACTCAAACTCTTGCACAGACTTTTTATGTCATGGTGAAGTTGGTGTTTCCAAAGATAAGTCTGCAAATTGTTTCACCTTAAAGCAGGGCATTATCCATCTGATCTCGCAACCAAGAATTCTTCAGCTGGCAGCACATATTAATCAGTAATACACTCCTGCTACATTTCTCATTCTGCAACTTATCAGTTAAAGGAGAAAATGTATCACAGAGGGAAAAATATAAGATCAGAAACAAAAACTTTAACCATAAATTCTCACTACAACCATGGCTCAACAAACCCTTAATTAGGTTGAAAGCATGTTTTATGATATTAGTACAAACATCCTTGAGCTGTTCCAGTCACAGGGTTATGGGAGCTGCCGAGACAGTAAAAATGTTGTTAATGATGTTACAGAGAGCCCATCTCAAAAGGGCAAACAGCAGTGTGTCAACACCTCTCAGTGGCAGTTGAGTCCGTGACACTGCATTGAAGTAGCTGCAGACACTTACCAGGCCTTGCCATGCAACTGGGGGGCTGTTCTCTTTGCAGCTTTGTGTGCTCCAATGACACAAAAGTTGTGAGGCCTAGGCTCTCAGCACCAAACGTTTTCATGATACGAGTTTGATGTAATCATCATATTCGAACAAAAATTGATGATATTTTTAGTCAATTATATTTGTAAATCAGACTACTACTTTCTTCCCCCCATAACATTTAAATTATTTGAAGTAACTTGTTATTCAAATAAAGAAATGAAATCAATTTTCAAAGTTAAAATTATGGTGGTTAATGTTTTGACTAAAAACATCTTTTGCTGGTGGCATATACAGATGGGACAAATGACAGTCACCTATGAAATGATTGAGAATCATCTATATATGCAACAGTTGTGTGGTTCATATATCATTAACCTTGACCCAGGGCTAGGATAGCTGACTTGCTATTCCATTTCAGTTAGGGAGCTATAAAATGTGCCATGGGTGGTGGTCATGTAAGAACATTTTCCTGAAATAAGTTTTTTTTTTTTTAAGAAAAATCTTTAATGTGCTGAATTGAACAATTCTAAGAAACTTAAACATGTAATTGCATTTTATAATTCATTTTTTGTTATGTTCTTTACTCAGGGTTCAAAAATTCTAGGATTTTCATTGATGCTAAAATTCTAAGAAAATCTCATCTAGTAATAGCTGGTTGTAAAATTTCTTCAGTTTCTGTATTTTAAAAAAAAACCCTCTGCAGTTCTTGGCCAAGGGAAGCTATGCTACGTAATGCTACGTAGTGATGTTCTTTTATTTTTAGTTATGTCTTATTGGGAGTTCAGTTGGTTTTAACTACTATGTAGCAGGCACTGTCCTTGACACTGGATAAGACATGGTCTCCGTCCCTAAGGAGTTTACAATCTGTTGGAGGCAAGCTGGAAGTGCAGAGAATTACATTAGAATCTAAAATGAACGAAAATATCAGAAATGTTTGTATTATTGGGCTTTTAAATATAATAGCATGGCATTGTTTGCAATGTCAAGGCAGACCATTAAAATGCACTTTCATGTGGAAAAAAAATCAAAATCATGAAGACCAAGTTTTAAAACATTCACATGATAAAGGTAGTTAATACTAAAACTTTACACAACAGTTTATAGGCATAAGTTTTTTTTTGTTATATTTTTATTTTGAATTTTGTGGTACAATTTCTTGTGCTGAAATAAGTTTTTTTTTTTTTAAGATTATTTATTTTTATTGGAAAGGCAGATATACAGAGAGGAGGCGAGACAGGAAGATCTTCTGTCCAATGGTTCACTCCCCAAGTGACTGCAATGGCTGGAGCTGAGCCAGTCTGAAACAAGGAGCTCTTCTGGGTCTCTCAAGTGGGTGCAGTGTCCCAAGGCTTTGGGCCGTCCTCAACTGCTGTCTCTGGCCACAAGCAGGGAGCTGGATGAGAAGCAGGACCGCCGGGATTAGAATCAGCAACCATATGGGATCCTGGTGCGTGCATGGCAAGGATTTTAACCACTACGCTATTGCGCCGGGTCCTGAAATAAGTTTTAAAGTTAGTGTGCTTTAAAAATATATTATGGGACTGGTGAGATGGCTCAAATGGCTAATCCCCTGCCATACGGTATGCCTCTGTAAGCTCCGGCATAACGTATGTGTGCAGTTTGCATCCCAGCTGCTTCTGCTTCCCATCCATCTCCCTAGATAAGGCCTGGGAAAGCAGTGGAGTATGACCAAAAGCCTTGGGACCCTGAACCTACTTGGAAGACCTGAAAGAAGCTCCTGGCTTTGAATAAGTTCAGCTCTGGCTGTTGTGACCATTTGAGGAATGAACCAGCAGATGAAAGATCTTTCTGTCTCTCCTCTCTGTAAATCTGCCTTTTCAATAAAAATAAATAAATCTTCAAAAAATATTCACACTGCCTAGAAAATACAGTATGTGTAGTCAACTGAAGCATTATGGTAATTTATTTATTTTAGATTCTCAGTTGACTTGGTACTTGAGGCAGCTCTGCTTTCAGACCAGAGATGGGATCCCTAAGAAACTATTGCATTTATCTGGACAATAAGATGCTGGACTCTATGCATGGTACATGCTTGCACATGAAGGAATCATGACTGGATTTGAACTGTAATACTGCAACAAGGTGGAAGAATCCACCATGAGAGGAGGGCACGGGGGAGGGGTTGAGGGGGATCCCAGAGCCTATGAAACTGTCATAAAAAGAATTGTAATTGAAATTAAAAAAAAAAGCAAACTAAATTCTAGATTTTGAAGATGACTTAGAAAAGTTGTTTTGGTACATTGGGCTACATTGCTGCTTGGGGTTGGAGTTCCTGAGGTTGAGTTCTGCTTCTGATCCAGCTTCCTGTTAATGAGAATCCTGGAACACAGCAGATGTTGACTCAATTGCTTGGCCCTCTGCCACCGACGTGGAAGCCCTGGATTACTGCAGTTCTTTTTTTTTTTTTTTTAAGTATTAATTTATTTTGAAAGCATTACAAAGATAAAGAAGAGACAAAGATTATCCATCCTCTAATTCATTCCCCATATGGTCACTACAGCCAGTGCTGGACCAGGCTGAAACCAGGAGCCGGGAACTTCATCTGGATCTCCTTCATATATGAGAGTGCAAAATGTTTGGACCAGGTTCTGCTGCTTTTCCTAGGTTGTTAACAGGGAGCTGGATCAGAAGTGGAGAGGTGCAGTTTAATGGCCTACTGGTTAAATCCTCGCCTTGCAGTCCTGATATCCCATTGGGTGCCAGTTCGTGTCCTGGCTGCTCCACTTCCCTTCTAGCTCCCTGCTTGAGCCTGGAGAAACAGTGGAGCACAACTGAAAGCCTTGGGACGCTGCAGTGGCGAGGGTGCCCTGAGAGACGCTCCTGGCTCCTGGCTTTGGATGAGCTTAACCCTGGCATTGCAGCCACTGAAGCAGTGAAGCAGCAGATGGAAGATATTTTTCCGTCTCTTCTTCTCTCTGTGTATCTGTCTTTCCAATAAAAATAAATAAATCTTTAAATAAAGAAAGAAAAAAATGAAACAGCTGGGACATGAACTGGCATCCATATGGGATGCCATGGTTTTATTCACTATGGCCACATTATCAGTGCTTTTAATCCAGTTCTTTTGGATACTTTTTTAAAAAAAGGATTTATTTTTGTTGGAAAGTGAAATAGAGAGAGAGAGTAAGATCTTCCGTCCATTGATTCACTCCCTAAGTGGCTGCAATGGCTGGAACTGAACCGATCTGAAGCCAGGAACTCTGAGCCTCTTCTGGGTCTTCCATGTGGGTGCAGGGTCCCAAGGCTTTGGGCTGTTCACTGCTTTCCCAGCCCACAATCAGGGAGTTGAACGGGAAGTGGGGCTGCTGGGGTTAGAACTGTTACCTAAATGGAATCCTGATGTGTGCAAGGCAAGGCCTCCAGCCACTAGACTACCACACTGGACCCTTTTTGGGAGACTTTTAATGTTGTTCTCCCGTTCCCACATTTTTTTTTTTAAATAAAAAGCCTTTGTGTGTGTGTGTGTAGCAAAAACCTAATATCTTGAGTGTATGTTCTTTCCCATTTATTTTTTACAGCTCCTGAATATTGGTGTTCGATTGCTTACTTTGAAATGGATGTTCAGGTAGGAGAGACATTTAAGGTTCCTTCAAGCTGCCCTATTGTTACTGTTGATGGATACGTGGACCCTTCAGGAGGAGATCGCTTTTGCTTGGGTCAACTCTCCAATGTTCACAGGACAGAAGCCATTGAGAGAGCAAGGTATTGATTTTATAGTTAGATAGTTAAAAACTGAGCATAGTGCATTATCTTTTATTTGGGATTTTTTTTTCCATGTACATTGTATAAGTTCTACGTGTTATATATGTAGAATTTGAATATGTTCCATTTAATTGCTGATTTGTACTTATCACAAAATGATAAAGTATGGCTTTGACTTTTTTAGGGAATTGTGTTTTCTGTGCTTTGAATAACTAGTTTTTTTAGAATCCAGTTTGAAGGCTAATTTTTATTTTCTGCGTTCACAACTTTTTACAAACCTGTTGAAAGGAAATGACATGAGAATAATTGTTTCTGGAAGTGCTGCTTGTGATGTTGAAAAATTGAAAATAAAAGGGAGATGGTTAAATAAATCATGATAAAATGTAGCCGTTTAGATGTTAATGAGTCATGAAGTAGAAATGCTTAAGATGACCTTAAGCAGTTTTAACTACTGTATGAGCTCAATTCTGTAAAGACATGCTATATATGTAAGCATTATGCTCTTAGTTTTTATTACTTACATTGTGTTTTTAAGAAGTAACATTGTCTAACCCAGTGCCTGCTAATATTATTTTCTGTGATGAGGGAATTAATTTATATATGTGCTATTTAGTCCAGTAGCCACTAGTCACATATAAATAATGCGTTCTTATAAAAAGGCTGATGTGATTGAGTTTTAAATTCCAGTTTGTTTAAATAGCCACCTGTGAGTAGTGTTAGCCATAGCCTTAGTTTTCTTACTTTTATTAATATGAAAAGAAAAGGAAGAAATGTAAGGCATTACATTTAGCAGCATCAATCTTTTGGCTCAAGTGTTGAATGATATCCTTTCTCTATTCAGTTTTTCAACATTAAACATGCTGTGTAAACTGAACTTTACTCTTAATACGTACCAAGATGAAGTGTGATTCCTTTTTTCTTCCTAAGGTTACACATAGGAAAAGGTGTGCAGTTGGAATGTAAAGGTGAAGGTGACGTTTGGGTCAGGTGCCTTAGCGACCATGCGGTCTTTGTGCAGAGTTACTACCTAGACAGAGAAGCTGGGCGTGCACCTGGAGATGCGGTTCATAAGATCTACCCAAGTGCTTATATAAAGGTTAGTTACAATGTTTATGAGTATTTGAGTCTTGCAAAGTTCTATTTGTTGGTTTAAGAAGTGAAATGGAGATAGGAATAAAAGATCTATTACATAATAAAAAATCGTTTTCAGCAGAGAACACATTCTTAGGAGCATTTTTTTGATGGCATGATCACCTGTCTGCTTTGATTGCTGCCCTGCCTTTGTGTTATATTAACCAATTTGTTAAGTATTTCTTTCTGTAAATGTAATTTTGTTTTGAAAGTTTTTTTTATAGAATAGTATTAAATGATTTAGAATAATATGTGAACTTTTGAAAGTGTTGAGTGAACCCCCAAATTTGTATCTCATTGATGTGAGATTGGTAAAAGAGTCATCAGTTTTACACTTACCAAACCTCAGAATTTTAAAGGAGGATATTCTAAAATTAGTAGCTTTTAAATGTGAGAAATGAGATGCTTGAAGTAGTTTCACTTTTACATATTCAACTAATTTTAGTTTTACTTGTATTTTTGAAAGAGAAAATGTGTGTGTGTGTGTGTGTGTGTGTGTGTGTGTGTGTGTGTGTGTGTGTGTTTGTAATTTGTATATTTGAGAGACAGGGAGAAGACAGGAAAAACTATCTACTGATTGCTTCCCTAAATGTTGACAATGATCAGATCTGGGTGAGATTGATGCTGAGAGTCTGGAACTTAATCCAGATCTCCCACATTAGTGGCAGGAGTCTACTTTATTCAGCCATTATCACTGCCTCCAGAGTCTGCATTAGCAGGAAGCCACAGCCAGCTATCAAACCTAGGACTTCAATACAGGATGTGCGTGTTTTAACAGCTGTTTTAACTGCTAGGCTAAATGATTACCATATATATCTATATAAGATATTTATAAAGTTTGATTTATTTTTATTTTTATTGGAAAGTCAAGTTTTACAGAGAAAAGAGAGAGAAAGATCTCCCATTTACTGGTTCACTTCCCCAAGTATCCATAATACCCAGAACTGAGCCAATCCAAAGCCAGGAGCCTGTAGTCTCTCCTGGGTTTCCCATGTGGGTTCAGGGTTAAGGCCTTGGGCATTCCTTCACTGCCTTGCAAGGCATCAAGAGGGAGCTGGAAGTGAAGTGGAGCAGCTGGGACATGAACCAGCGCGCACATGGGATCCTGGCAGTTGCAAGGCGAGGATTCTAGCCACTAGGTTACCACACTGGTGCCCCATAAATATATTTTTAATTTCAGATTCTTCATTCATCCTAACTGTCTGTGTTGTCAGCTCTTGTAAATAGTTGAAATACCTGTATCCTACCACGTATTCTCAGGCCATTGCTTGTAATACAACTAATAAAAACAAATGTTTAATCACAAAATTTAGTTGCTCTGTTGCCTTCAATTGCAAATCCAGTATTTATTTTCAGTTGCAGTTCAGTTACAGAATATTTTTTAATGTGAAACTTTTAAACAGAGCAATTAAAACACTTATCAGCATTTTGCCCATATTTACTGTCTTCCTTTAGTTTTTCCCTTGAGTAACTTAAAATTAGTAATAATCATTTTATTAATTTAGCCAAACAATACTGCAGTAACAATTGCTAGTTCTAAAAAATCACAGGACAGTGAAACTGTTCTGTTTTGATGTTCCATATGTCATAGATTGTCCAAACCCTTGGAATACACAATGCCAGGAGTGAATCCTAGTGTAAACTGTGGACTTCGGGTGATAATGTTGTCAGTGTCGATTCATCAACTGGAATAGATTCTTGAGAAAGTAGCAGTTTCTTTTCCAGGCACTGTGGAATTGTGATTCCACTGATTTCCACAATCTGACTTCATCATGCCTTCAGTCCTGGAATCTTTTAGGATGTAGTGATACAGATTGTATATCAAATTATAGGATGGCTTTAAGTGTTGTTCATTCATTAGTGCTTGCTTTTGAGGAGATGGGCACTTGAGTGGAGAAGTGCATTTCTTTTGGGGAGAGTCTTTTACTACTGTAAATTTTTATGGTTGAAGACAATCAGAATTTTTTTAAGCATCTAAAAATTCAGTTTGTATCCCAAAGATGTTGAATATCATCAAGTGGAAGGGCATTCATTCTTTGATTTATTTTCCATTGTTTTGACAAATTAAAAAAACTTAAATTTACATATTTTACTCGAGAGCATGGGGGTTAGAGGATAGCTCCCATCTGATGGCTTTCTTCCCAGACGCCTGGGAGTCGAGAACTATCTGAGCCTCCCAGGTGGGTGGGTGGTACTCAACTACCTCAACCATGATCACTTGCTCCTTCCATGCTGTACATGAACAAGAATTTAGTTGAAGCCAGTACATAAGCCCACACACTCAGATAGGGGACACATGTGTCCTAACCAGTGTTTTAACTGTGGCACTACATGCCTGCCTCCAAAGGTGTTTTTAAAAATTTTAAATATAAGCAAATGTTATTCTGGGCTAATTTTTTCTTCCAAAGAAAAAATATGATGTGAATTATTATGCCTGACTTGTAGCTTATTCAGAGAGAATTCTAATACTCGTATGAACATAAAAGTAGAAGACAACCTCTTCTTTACTATCCCAGTCCTTGGCTAGGTTGAAAGAGAATACTGGGGGCCCATTGCAATAGCCTAGTGGCTAAAGTCCTTACCTTGCGTGCGCTGCGATCCCATATGGGCACTGGTTCTAATCCCGGCATCCCCGCTTCCCATCCAGCTCCCTGCTTGTGGCCTGGGAAAGCAGCTGAGGATGGCCTAAAGCCTTGGGACCCTGCACCCGTGTAGGAGACCTGGAAGAAGCTCCTGGCTTCTGGCTTTGGATTGACTCCTCACTGGCTGTGGCGGCCATTTGGGGAGTGAATCATCAGACAGAAGATCTTCCTCTTTGTCTCTCCTCCTCTCTGTATATCTGCCTTTCCAATAAAAATAAATAAATCTTTAAAAAAAAAATAGTCCTGGATTTACTTATGAACTTCTTAACTCGTCCTGAAAGAATAATGCTACAGGGAGACCAAAAACAATAAGTCATACAAAAATGCTTATTATTGACAATTTTTCTTTTAAAATTATAAGCATTTTAAAACATGTAGAATAGTACAGAGAAAGTAGTTTAATGAAGTTCCATAAACCCTTCAAATAAAAATCATTAAGATTTTATATTGACATAGATCCCTTTCACTTTGTTTCTTAAAGTCCTAGACATCATGTCATTTTGCTCATATGTACTGAAGAATACTTCTCTAAAATTGTGGGTGTCTTCTGGTATCGCCACAATGTTGTTTGTCACACTCTTCCAAATAGAAGTGGTAAAGAATGTTAAATGTTGGTCACGTGATTCCAGTCTTTTGAAACTTAGCAGTTCAACTTTCAGGAGTGGGATGACTTGTCTAGTACTACTTAACCCAGTGGGTTTTCCCAGGGATGCCAGCTGGCGCACACTGATCCCGATAAAAGATCAGAGGCATGTGGCATGAAGGGTCATTCTAACAGGGAAGTACACTTCTTGGTGAGCTCCAAGCCACCTTCCTTAACTAGTTTTGTACTGATTGCAGTCTGTGTGAAAATTTAAAATTCCAATTTTTATGAGAGTTAAGTAAAATAAACTTGTAAGTCTTAAGTAAATTGTACATTGATTTTTGGCAAATAGAATCTTTGCTGATAGATTCATAACATTAAACTTAGACCTTTTTTTTTGAACAGGTATTTGATTTGCGTCAGTGTCATCGACAGATGCAGCAACAGGCAGCTACGGCGCAAGCTGCGGCAGCCGCCCAGGCGGCAGCTGTGGCAGGAAACATCCCTGGCCCAGGCTCTGTGGGTGGAATAGCTCCAGCTATCAGTAAGTATGCTTTCCCTTTGTTTTAAAGCGTAATATATGGTATTTCATTTTAATTCACTCAGTTAATTAGTTAGTTTAAAGAGAAACAGAATTAAAGTTCCTTTTACTATGGTGATAATGTTTTTGAAAATATGTTTTCTTTTTTAAAAATTGTAATAGTTACTCTTTATTACAATCCTATTTTCATTCTTTTGTATCAAAAAGGGAGTATGGGATAAAGGAGAAAGTGGGTGTTGCAGTACATCGTAATGTGGCCCTTTTTTGTTGTTGATGCTTAGTGTAATTCCTGCCTCAGTAGGGTGGGGTTATAATCACTGAAGTGCTTGACTTACTCTAGTAATGGAAGCATACTTCCATTTCAGAATTGGACACCTCTCCGTTTTTTTTTTTTTAAGTGTGCTAAACTTGGGGAGAAAAGTGAGGGTGGTATATTTATAAAATTGTAGATTTTTTAAAATTATAGGGTGGTAGAATTGAACTGTGTGCCAGGTTTCACACTGATGGGGAATTTTTTACTGCAGAGTTAAACTCCTGACTATAGACTTTTATGATGGAAACACGTGGCACCCATCTTCCACGTCTGAAGGCATAACTAGTGATTCATTCAACCCCTGTTCTTAACCTCTTCAGTGTGGTAAGCAAATCACACTGGCTAAGAAAACTGCAGTGGCCCTGCAGGTTTCTCTACAGTACATGAAAATTCCTCCCATTAGTTTCATTGTAATATTGATAAATGAAGATTGACTATATGATTGTATGTGAAAATTAGATGTGAGTCTTCATTGTGACTTCTGTTCAGGAGTTTACAGTGTAGAGGTAGATAAGACATTCATTTAGAGGGTTTGATTTTCTAGAAAATATGGGCATCAAGCAATCTGCTCGTTTCAATATTATGAACATGTTTTTACTAAAGAATCCATGACTATATTATTGAGTTTCTTATTTTCATCTACTTCCCTCCCCATCACATTGAATGATTGTATGTATCTTTGTCACACTGTAGAATTAAGAGACAGATATCAGTTGGGTTGTGCAAGAGGTCTTAGTGGAACCAGGAAGATTGTCTTACTAGTCATGATGTACTCTGAACTAAGCTGCTTAGACAGATAAAAAGGTTCTTAGAACCAACCTGTGAACCTGCAGCACCTCTAAAAGACAGTTCCTTATCCCTTCACCTCCTCTTTTAAAGAAAAAAAAACTAGATGGGGTGTTGTTGGATTATGTTAATTTACTTTATAATTCGTTTTAGCTGGAAGACAAATGTGGAGTGTAAACTTGCTTTAATCAGAAGACTTATGTAACTCTACTGAAAACATGCAGAGCCACAGTTACCTCTTGGCTTTTTGGCAGAAAAGTTAAATGCTAAGGACAATGAAGTAAAGAAAGCCGGTCACTTTGTTTATAAGAATGTGGGGAGTCTGGGAAGAGGTAACCCTGTCCTGACATCGTGCTTCCACGTCTTTTCCTTAGGTCTGTCAGCTGCTGCTGGCATTGGTGTTGATGACCTTCGGCGCTTATGCATCCTCAGGATGAGTTTTGTGAAAGGCTGGGGACCTGATTACCCACGACAGAGTATCAAAGAAACGCCTTGTTGGATCGAGATCCACTTGCATAGGGCGCTGCAGCTCCTGGATGAAGTTCTGCACACCATGCCCATTGCAGACCCACAGCCCTTAGACTGAGGTGGATCACTGCAGGGCCCTTAACAGTATCAGGATGGTGGACTGTAAAATGCAATCCTGTTTATTATCTGAAGATATGTTTCACCTTTGTTCTGCTTTATCTTTTCATAAAGGGTGGAAAAAATGTGTTTGCTACCTTGCTCCTAGCAGACAGAAACTGGATTAAAACAATTTTTTTTTCCAATTTAGAACTTTTCAGGCATGTCTCAGAGCTTGAAAATCAGGAAAACACATTCTTACTAAATCTTTACCAGTTGTGTATGAAAGAGTCATTCCAGTGCTGGAAAATTTAGCCCTTTAAAATGTCTTAGAGTGTTTTTTATATGCAGAACACTGATGTGTGTGTTACTCTACACAATAAATTCAATATTGCTGATTTTAAAGGCAGAGGAGTGCTCAAAGTTAATTCACCTGTTTTATTTTGTGTGCAAATTGTTATTGTTGGACAAACTTTACTCCAAAATATTGTGCCATGTGGGTGAGTTAATTTTACCAAGAGCAACTTTACTCTGTATTTAACAAATAAAATAGTGATGTATTATAACCTTTTATCTAAAATATTTTTTGGAACTAGTGAAAGTGATTTCAATTCTGGTTGTCTTGCAGCTCAGTTTTATCTTAATAAGGTGAAAGACTAATCTGGATGTATATTAAGAATTGCTTAAAATTACTGGACAAAAATGTCATTTAAAATTACATTTGTTATCCCTATTAGACGACTATCAGAAAGTATACTTTTCCCCCATTAAACAGTAGATGTGTTTGTCTACTTTTGCCTGGAAAAGTAATTTCTTTTCCTTCATTAATTCATAGGGAAAAGTTTTGTATTTTTTAAAACACTAAAAGCAGTGTCACTCAACATAGTATCTCACTGTTCTGCAAAGGTGACAGTGCTTAAATAATGAATATTTTGGAAACTGGCAAATTCTGTGTTAAATACTGTGCAGAATAATGGAGACATTACATACAGTTCATACTAGGTAGTTTGGATATTTTTGTACTTGATTTGATGTGTGACTTTTTTTCATATACTGTTTAAATCATGTATGTTATGATATTGTTTAAAATTCAGTTTTTGTATCTTGGGGCAAGACTGCAAACTTTTTTATACCTTTTGGTTATTCTAAGCCCTTTGCCATCAATGATCATATCAATTGGCAGTGACTTTGTATAGAGAATTTGAAGTAGAAAAGTTGCAGATGTATTAACTGTACCACAGACACAATATGTATGCTTTTTACCTAGATAGTAGCATAAATAAAACTGAATCAACATACAAAGTTGAATTCTAGGTTTGATTTTTAAATTTTTTTCTTTTGCACTTTTGAAGCCAATCTCAGTGGCAAGACACCTTTTATTAAGTGACAGGCAACAGCCAGCTCTATTGGGCAGCTCTGGTTTGCTTCTTACACTCTACCAGGACTTTCCCATTGTGTATTAGGCATAGAGTTGGTTATTTTTTTTAACTTTTATTTGCTATAGCAAACAATAGGTCTGGTTGTCTATGTGATAGATGATCTACAGAAAAAAACAGTGTGAAATGAATCAAGGATTATCTTTCAGATGCTTTTTCTGTTTGTGTGGAGGGTCATTGTAAACTTACTATTTAAAGTGTGTTATAGATTTGAGCCATAGAAACACTTATGTATAATAATCCTTTTTATGTCAACTGACACGAACAAGTCTTGTGCTTGCTTGGAAGGTCTCCTTAATAGGACCATTCTCTAAGTTCTGCCACTGAGTTTGCTTATGCAGGCTACACAGTTTTTTAAAAGCTTCTCTATGAATTCATTTGTACTCTTTGAGTACTCAAGTATTTTCAGTAAAGACCTAGTTTTCATCTGTAAAGGTTTATAGTGTTTTAAGTTTTCTTGACAGAAGTGTTAAAAGATAACTTCTCTAGAAATTTTCTCTTTAGGTCCATTTTACTGAATGAAGAATAGGAATGAGAGGAGCGAGTCCTAGAGTGACATTTTAATCCAGACTCTTTGATTAAAACCTTAACCGCGTGATGGTACCATCCATTATCTCTTCCTAATTTAAGGAAAGTTTTCATGTTTATTCATCTGTTGAAAGTATGTGGGAAATATTTGCTAAGAAATATTTTTTTAACCAAGCCACCAGTCTTGGTTTCTTTCTACTAAGAGCCATAAAATATAGAAGTTTTTCTAGTTATTGCTTGTTATAATATCTAGATTGAGGCACATGCTGTTGAGGAAACACCGAGGTATCATGATCAGCTATGTTTTATAGCGTGGTTCTTAAATTGTGTTTGTTTCTTAGATGTGGTCACCTTTGATGAGAAGACAGAAGAATTTCCCTAGGTTTACACTTTTGTGTCTGCTTTAAGGATAAAACAATTTCCACATTCTCAAAAATCATTTATTATCAGGATATGGTTCTGGGTACGTTTTCTCTAACTCATATCTCAAAGACCTTCTGAATGTTGAATTCCAGTGTAAGCCGAATGAGAGATGAATCAAATATAGCCAGTACACTAGACCCATTCTACTTTTGTCGGTGCCTTTCAATGTAATATCAAAGTGAATCCTTGATGGTATTGCCTTTATTTTCCAGGGAGTAGATTCTTTTTTGGGCTACAAGGTATCTTGGTTTTTATTGTTTACTCCCTGGGTATACAGAGATAATGATAACCAGTCGTATATAGTCTTGCATTTCCAGGAACAGCTCCTTTATATTTCCCTAACCATTGAATAGGTCCCCTGTCCCATTTCTTTTGTAAACAGTACTGGTTTGTAGATTGAATGGTCTAGCTTAAAGTTAACCATCCTTGAAATACCTGACTACACTTTACACAGCGTTAACTGTGTTGTATCTCAAAGTTTAAAATGTTCTGTCTTCCAAATGAGAAATCATCAGATTTTAAACGTTTATTGCTAATTGTGGGAAGATATTGCAGGTATCAGTTTGACTGTGAACATCTGGGAAAGGAAAATGTTAAATGCTCCTTAATTATCTGTGGAGACTAAAAAGTAGAAACTGAAATGTTTCTGCTGCTGCTTTGGTGGGCACTGCCTGACAAACCATTTGATGCCAAGTCGGATTAGGTCAAACCCTTTTGATGCCAAGTCGGATTAGGTCAGACCCTTTTTGAAAGCCTTTTGGAAGAAGCAGATTTTTCCCTCTGAAGGAGGTGGAGTTTCTTATCTTGATCATTTCTAGAGTTCTCTTTATCATTGCTATATTTAATGATAGCAAATGAAGATAGTAGTGAGTTTGGGTTATTGAGGTATTGATTATATAAAAACATAGTGCATGTCAAGTCAGTTAACTCTTGTAGGCAGGCCTTGTCAGAGACTAGTGGATAATGGAGGAAATGCCCTTTTTCTCCTTCTAAAGGCAGGACCTTTATTGCTGCAGATAATTAAATCCTCCTTGGCAAGATATTGGGAAATAGACATGAGAGCCTTTGCAGTCCTTTTTGTTTTCCCCTTGGTGACCAGGTCATTTTTGTTGTTCTAACATACCATGGAAACAGCGGCCGAATCTGCAGCTCTGCCTCTGGTGCTGCTGGGTTGCTTGTGTTGTTTGTCTGGTGTCAGGGTGGATGAGAAATTTCCACATGATTGAAACTTGCCTTATTTAAGGAACAAACTTTTTCCTAATCATCTGTTGATAAGGTTACTTAATATGTACATGGGAGGATACAATGGTGATCCTGCTTCTTTCTGTACATGGACTCTGGGGGTTGCTAAGACAGGGCAGAACTGTTTGTCTTTATTGAGTGGTCCCAGACTGTTCTGCTTTGAAATTTTGGTCTTTTTTTTTTTTTAATTGCAAAATCAGATATATACAGAGAAGAGGAGAGACAGAGAGGAAGATCTTCCGTCCGATGATTCACTCTCCAAGTGGCTGCAATGGCCAGAGCTGTGCTGAGCCAAAGCCAGAAGCTCTTCCAATGTCCCACGCAGGTGCAGGGACCCAAGGCTTTGGGCTGTCCTTGACTGCCTTCCCCAGCCACAGTCAGGGAGCCGGATGGGAAGTGGAGCTGCCGGGATTAGAACCGGTGTCCACATGTGATCCCAGTGCATTCAAGGCAAAGACTTTAGCCACTAGGCCACCATGCCGGGCCCTGAAACTTTGGTCTTTTTAATTTCCTTTCTTCCTCCGAGTCTTCCTCCTTCCCAGCAGCTACTCCTTCGTGTATGGTTGTTAGTGTGTCTCTCTTTAATATTCGCTTCTTCCCTTTATAATGTATTACTTCTGCTTGGGCGAGGAAACCAGATAACCAAACTTACTTACTAGACTTTTTGTGAAAACACAAGTTCAGGTTGTGGTACAAGTCCCAGAACGCTTTCCTGTGATGTGTTGGAAAGAACTTTATGGCACTGACACTTGACATGGTGCAGAATGCTTCCTGGGTCTTGCCAAGGTTCAGCTAGTTGAGGTAAAGAGAAGTCAGTCTTAGTCCTGGTTCTCTAGTTTAGAGGAAGGCTTTGAGAGGTTGCATTGCTTCCCGTTCAGTACAGATCACACGAGAGCTGGGGTCCCGGGGGTTCCTACGTAAGTATTGATAGCCTATAGGACACCAGCCAACACACCCACAACACATGTAACAGAAAACCTTGGGAAACGAGAGGGCCGTTTTTGTTTTGTTTTGTCCCCTTTTAAACTCTGCCTTCTGGCCTTCATCCTCCTTAGATACTTTTGACCTTTAGGTGCCTTTATGGGAATTGAGGGTCTGATATCCTGCCCCGAGGAATAGCTAATGTTACTGCTGATGTTTTCAGGGATTTTAACATCAGATTTGAATGGATGAGTGAAGCTCTATTCCTTTTCTTAAATATGGGAAGGACTGAAGACATTTGGTGAAGACAATCATTTCTGTTTATTGATGTGGCTGGTTTTCACACAATTTATTTAGGAAGCTCTCTCAGTAACTCTAGGGCCGGTATTTGAATCTGATTGAAGGCTCTGGGCTAAACCAGACAGTTGCACTCCTGTTTGCTCTGCCACCAATTTGATGTGTGACCTTGGGCAAGTCATTGTTCACTGTCTCTGGGCCTCAGTTGCCTTATCTGCAAAATGAGGGGGAGTTGGGCTAGATTTGTTCTTCCAGCTCTGAATTCCAAGTGACCTTGCCTACCTGGCAGCAGTTATAGGTTTCTTCCTTACCTTTGCTCTGCTGTGTGAGGGGGCTTTTTTCTTATTTCCATGTTATTTCAAGTGAGACTAGGCTTAATAGTTCATTACTGTTCTATGGACAAGAAGTTACATAATATGTCCTTAAGACTTAATTTTAACCAAAGGCCTAGCATAGCTTAGGGGCTGCAATAAACACTTGACACAAAAATCTAAGAAGGAGGAAAAGAAAGCCTTCATTTGCTTTCTGTCAACTTTGTTTAAAGTTTTAAAAGGCTTTCTTTGAGTCATGACATTCCAGCTTTCAGGGTGACAGATGTGACACCATCCTCCTAAGTGCTGTGTGCTGGTGATTTTTTTTTCTGAAATGGATGAGAACACCTGTGATCAATGCCTAATGATATTTAGAGATCATTTTTTTTGGAGTCTTTGCTTTCTTAACTCATGTGTGCTCAAAACAGGGAAATTCTGAACTGCATCAACTGAAATGGTTTACTTGTGTATGACTCAATAAAACAATATCAGTGTATATGATTATTCACTTTATTTTTGGCACTTTTTAGATCCATTTTGATTAGGTAACCTCTGGCTGGATCGTTGCTTTCAGAATTGTCTTCCAGCCTATTCTTGGATGAATAGACTTGGTAGGTTTGTTTTTCAAGGACCCAGGAAGCCTTCTGTAGTGAAGGGGTCGGTTGGGATGGGAACTGAGGAGTCCTGGTAGAGGCCAGCTCTGTGACAGCTGGAGAGAAAGGGATGAACCCCACGCTGTTGCCTGGGCTGCCTGTTACTGATGGGACACGGACTTAGATTGGTTAGAAGGCTCAACACAGTGTTGGCAGACTTCCTCCAAATACTGGCTTCTGTTTCCTGCATTGGACATGTGAATGCCTCTAAATGAGGCAGACCTAGTGGGCTGCAGAGTGCAGGGAGCAAGAAGCGACTGAGGTAGCGGGGACAGATTGGGTGGTGGTGTTTTCCAGCTCTGTCCCCTCTCCTAAAGGCACAGGAATGCAACTGTGCCAGAACCCAGAGAGGAGCCACTCTGAGCTTTTGCTTTCGGGAAAGCTGGGCAGCTGAAGCTCCCTTAGTTCCTTTGTGGCTTTCTGTGTCCTTTTGCCTGGTTGAAGTCTGTGGCTAAAAAATAGTTGAACCTTTCTTGAGAACTATGTAACAAAGTTTGTTTTTGATTAAAAGAGAAAGCCAACTAAAATCATGATGTGCTCATTCTTTTTCTTAAGCTTGTGGATGTCTTGGATCTGGAAAGAGTTCCTCATCATGTAGAGCATTCTCAAACCTGAGGTCAGCATTTTCCTTCACTGCTTTTACTCCAGTGGCCACTGAAATGGGAAGAGTTATGGTATTTCAAATATGTCCCTGGAATAAAGAACAACTCCCATTCTTTTCTCTAGAAGAAGGGAAAGGAGCCACGGTGATTGGAGAAGAGGTGGGGTCTAAGACTTGATGAGAACCAAGATGCTTGATGAAGAACCAGAAAATGCAAATTAGAGACCTATAATTACCCATCTAAAGATTGTAAAAAGCTCTCTCCCAGTGGCCTCTCCTGTGTACTGGGGATCAAAGCGGGTTGTGGGGAAGGGGTCTGTCAAGTAAGGGCTTCTGTGTACAGCATAGTCACACCAGTATTTTCATTCTGATTTTACTGGCATGAGGTCTCAAGATGTATATCAGCTCAAGAAATTATTTTCATCTGTTTGCTAATCTAAAGTTAGCAGTATATTGGGCTAGAACCTGAGTGTTAGACTGACATTGAGTTGAGAAAAAAAAATTCGTAGTGAAGTGCCTGAGGAGGAAGGGCAGTTGGGTGTTTTCTTGAGTCTTTCTCTGCTCTATGTTCTTAACCCTGATTTATTCCACTCATTTTCACAACTCTTCCACAAACGCATTTTGAAAAGGTAGGATATGCCTCATTTCTCCTGCAGACTTTTCTCACCCTATTGCCTCACAGATAAGTTGCAAAACCCATTCCCACAATCTTTTATGTTCCATTAGCTCTGGCCGTGTTTTTGAGGTGGCATTGCCATCTCTTTTTTGATGTGTTCGTTTTGGAATACACACAGATGGGCAAGATGTGTTCAGAGAGACCAAAGGATGAGTTAGCAGACTACCCTAAAGGGCATGGTGGCACAGCAGGTTTAGCTGCTGGATGTTCGTGTCCTGTATGAGCTCCAGTTGGAGTCCTAGTTGCTCCACTTCTGATCCAACTCCTTGTTAACACACTTGGGGAAATAACGGTAGGATGTCCAAGTGTGTGTGTTCTACTAACATGTGGGAGACCTGGATGAAGTTCCGGGATCCCGACTTTGGCCTGGCCCAGCCATGTCTGCTGTAGCCATCTGGGGAGTGAACCAGCAGATGGAAGATCTTTGACTCTTCCATTCTCTGTAACTCTGCCTTTCAAAAAAAAAAATGGGTAAAGGGTAAATGAGATTATATAAACAGAAAATGATGAAGGAAAATTGAAACACCAAAAAGAAAAAAAAAAAGCAAAAATATGAATAAATAGACTTTCCTATGGTTTCTAAATGTTTGCTAGTTGGGGAAGTTATAACCCTACTCACAGTGATTCTAAGACATTATGGAGAAGGAAAACTGAACAAATATATGGGAATGTATGCTCTCTACATTTCACGCAAATTAATAAAATGACAGTAGACTACAACAAGATATCGGAAGATACACACACAGCTATTCGAAAGCTACCCTCCTCTCTGTTATATCTGACTTCCCAATAAATAAATAAGTCTTTAAAAGAGCATTAAGGGTACAAGGGAATTCTTAAAAAACAGATATTGGCAGAATGGATTAAGAAATATGACCCAACTGTGTGCTCTCCTCAAGAAACTCACTTCAAATATAGTACAGGAAAGTGAAAATAAAATGTATCTCAGGTAAACATTAAGTTTTAAAGGAAAGCAAATGGGTCCAGCATGGTGGCCTACTGGCTAAGTCCTTGCCTTGTAACTGCCAGGATCCTATATGTGTATGGGTTCTAATCCCAGCTGCTCTGCTTGCCATCCAGCACCCTGCTTGTGGTCTGGGAAAGCAGTAGAAGATGACCAAAGCCTTGGAACTCTGTATGCATGTGTGTGAGACCAGGAAGAAGCTCCTGGCTCCTGGCTTTGGATCGGCGCAGCTCTGGCCATTGCGGCCACTTGGGTAGTGGACCAGCGGATGGAAGATCTTTTTGTTTCTCCTCTTCTGTAAATCTGCCTTTCCAATTAAAAAATCTTTAAAGAAAAATAAAAGCAGGTAAGGTAGATTGCAGAGCAAAAATAAATACCCAGAGACAGGCATTATACAATGAAGAAAGGGACAGCAGTGAAATAATCATGCATGTATGAAGAAAATGAAGGAAAAAGTGAATGAAAATATAGATTCATAACCATAGTTGAGGATTACCAATCTATAGAACTAACCATGGGATCATCAGAGACTTAACTCAGCATTACAGTCAGCAGGAGTTCATTGACATTTATACGATAAGCCATGTAAGGACGGAAAAAAACACTTGCAAGTGCTAACAACATATACCAACATTAACCATGGGCTGTAAAAACCACATTGAAAAAATTTGGAAAACTATTCTGTGGTGACGTGTAATGAAAGTGAACATCAATAACAAAGATGGCAGGAAAAATCTCCCAGGAGACTGAATTCCATACTTTAGTATAATCAATGAGTTAAGAGGAAATCTCACGAAAGTTTAACACAGAACCAAATGGAAGTGAAAATAAAGGATAGCGCAGTTTGTGAAATACAACTAAAGCAGTGATAGGTTGGGCTAAATTTATAGCATGAAATGCAAACTCTGGAAGAATATTAAAGACCAGCAGACGTTGGGCCCAGTGGTTAAATTAGGGGTGCGTGTATCTTACGCAGGAGTACCTGAGTTCAGGTCCTGGATCCTCTCAATGCCAGCTTCCTCTCATGTGCGGCGATGGCCGAGTTGCTGTGTCATGGCCACCTGGGACACCTACATTGGGTTTCTTGCCCTCTGCTTGAGCCTGACCCAGTTTGGGTCATTTGGGGAGTGAACTCATGAGTGGAAGCTCTCTGATTCTCATTTATTTCATCAACAGGCAAAAGGAAAAGCCTCAGATTAGTACTCAGGGCTCCCACTTCCGAACCCCTAAAAAGATGAGAAATATCAGCCAGTGCTGTAGCATAGTGGGCTAAACCTCTGCCTGTGGCTCTGGTTTATATCCTGGCTGCTCCACATCCTCTCTGGCTCGTTTTGCTTAAGACCTGGGAAAGCAGCACAGGATGGCTCAAGTTCTTGGGTCCCTGCACCCATGTCGGAGACCTGGAGGAAGCTCTGGCTGTTGTGGCTATTTGGGGAGTGAACCAGCAGATGGACGATCTTCCTCTCTGTCTCCTCTCTATAAGCCTGCTTTTCCAATAGACATGTCTTTTTTAAAAATGCAAATATATATAAATATATAAAGAAATAATATAAAGCAAGAAAAAGAAGGGAATGAAGATACCAAGGCTCAGTAGACTTGAAGCAGAACAACAATGGAAGAGCTATTAACAAACTGAGACTGATGAGACTGACAGCTGCCTACATTACTGCAACTCACCTGATGTAAGACAGGTTATTTGAACAGACATGAATTGTTTGAAAATCCTGAAAAGGAAACCTCTAGGCACAGATAAGTTCACTGAAGACCTGTTACCAAGGAGAATGAATATCAATTATGTAGTCTTTTCCAGGACATAGAACAGGGAGTGTTTCCCAATCTGTTTTGGGAAACTAGTATTACCCTGCTTTAAAAAACAAACATAATGCAAAGAAAACTTGGTGAATACTCCTTAAGGATATTAATGGGAAAGATAATTTCTATGAGAAAAATTTTTAATGAGCAAAACAGCAATGCATAAAGGAGATAAGCCATGACAACATGAGTTGTGCGCCAGGAATGCCGGACTGGTTGAATATTTAAAAGTCAATCTGGCCACAAGCAGGGAGCTGGATGGGAAGCGGGGCTGCCAGGATTAGAACCGGCGCCCACATGGGATCCCTGTGCGTCCAAGATGAGGATTTTAGATGCTAGGCTACCGCGCCAGGCCCTAGCAGACGGAATTTTAAATTAGGAAGATTGTAGGCGGGAAGATGATGTTTTAAATCTCCAAATGTCCCTGGCTTAGAGGAAGAAAGGGAAAACCCTCCGAGTGACGCAGGAACACCTGGGGAGACAGGCAGAGTTGGAGTGAGTCGCCAGCCGAGCACCGCCCACGAGCCCCCAGACAGAGCAGAGGACACGAGACCTTGCCCACACCTCAGTCCTGGATCGCAGCCTCCAGACCTGCGGGAGAAGCCGCCCTTGGGGCCATCCAGGGTGGAGCTTCCTAATGGCAGCTGGAGGAAAGGAAGTCACGTGTTCACTCATTGCCTCATCCTTCAGAGGTGAACCGGACCTCACTCCCACGGGGCATGGGCACGCTGGAGGTGGCTGACTTCATGCCTGGCTGGGAGAGGAGGTATGTGGGGGACAGGCCCTGCGCTGTGCCCTGGGGAAGGTCAAGGCTGAGGGACATGGGACAAATTGGGGCTGGAGGACCTTGCTGCTCACCTGGGGGGCTGCAGGCCCTGTACCGAGGACCACTCAGGAGGGAGAACAGGCACATAATCCTCTCCCTAGGGCTGACAACACTGGTGCAGGTTTTCATAAGCCAGCACTGGCAGTCACTGGAGGTGCAGGTGTTCTGATGGGGGTGTAGACATTTGTCAGCACCTGAGGTTACAGGTTGGAACCACAGTTGGAACTGTTGGAACTTCAGCAGTTCACTTTTTTCTTTTTAAAGAAATTTCTGGGGTCTGCTGTGGTGGTATAGCATGCTAATCTTCAGCCTGCCGTGCTGGCATTCTATGAGTGCAAGTCCCAGTTACTCCACCTCCAATGCAGCCCCCTGTTGACCAGCAAAGGATGGTCTAAGGGCTTGAAACCCTGCACCCATATATGGAAAACCCAGAAGAAGCTGCTAGCTCCAGGACTGGAACTGTGGCTCTCAAATTTGGCAGGGTCCACCTTCCAAATGGATGGGCCAGATTCAACACTTGATCAAGAGGGCTGTTTTTCTGTCTGGGGACTGTGGTATCCTGCCACCTGTGCCCACTGTCTACCCTCTCCCGTGTGACCCTGGTGGGGGAAGGAGGGTTGCAAGAAGCTCCTCCCATTCGCCTGCGCAGAGCTGCCTCTCCCAAGAGTTGGGCTCAGGGCTGTGGAGCAGAGGGCATCGCAGTCCCCTGGGAGAGAGGGTGGCAGCAGATGCACCTCTGGGCAAAGCCAACAAACAGGTTAGCTAGCAGGGGCAGGTGCCCCGGGGGAGATCCGAGATGAGGTGTGGCAGTCCTGGAAACTCCGGGTCCCCTCGGCGCCCTCCTGGACGCAGGGACCCCGGGACCCCGGAAAGGAGCCAGGCGGCCCGACCCGGTCGGGGTTTGCGCCTGAGGAGCGGCGACGGGCCCGGGTGGGCAGCGCTGAAGGCGCCGGCTGGTGAGGGGGACCGAGGTCCCTGGCGGGAAGGACGGGCGCGTCGAGGCGGCCGCCCAGGAGGGGGCGCTCTCGAGGGCCACCAGATGCGCAGCCAGCGCGCCCCGTTCCCACAGCCGCCACTGGGTGTCGCCATTGCCCCGCGGAGGAGCGCGCGAGTTCGCCCTGAGGGAGACCCTGTTCCAGCCCACTTCGGGTCAGAAAACCCCAAGGAAATCCGGGGGACCCAGGGGAAGCATACCGGACGCGAGTGCCTCCCTGAGGGGCTGCGAGGACTCCTGTCCGGGC